GSRKTCTATTTAATAAAAAAAAAAACCTTGAAAACAAATGAAAACAATCGTAGGGCAATAACAAAGGTAGAAAAGTTGCGTCTGTCTCAAATGTGATGAACCATTGTGCTATGATGGATTGTATAGTTGAGACATCGAATGTTGACAAATATGGTTAAAGTCGGCAAACCTTGTCTTTTGTTCACCTGCCGACTACTTATATGTAATTTGTTATTTTCTACTCAGGTATCGAGTGCTGTACAAAACCAAGATTTCACGCTAATTGATGATTAGACAACTGGATTGAAGTGCTTGCTCTACCTTCAAACTGTAGAAGAACTCTCTACTTGGGAAGGGCAAAGTCCTCCTACACCAAAACACCAAAAAGGCAAAACTGTTCCAAAAATAGCTGAGCTTGTTGGAAAGGTTAGACACCATCACTTTACGTACTGAGTTGTAGACGGTCGTCGTAAAAGTTGCTTTATAAACTATAAAGAGCGGCGGAGAGAAAGGTGTGAGTCATCGCTTTTGTGTCTCAGAAAGGTGTGGATATAGAATTATTAGCTGCACTTGAATGGTAGATAGTCCTTTTTGTTTCTGAATGTTATAGATAGCTTTATAATGGATTTTTACGGAAACTATCTATTGTGTACGTTCCGTGTGCCCTGCTTAAAGCCATTATGATATCGTTACATTTATTGTTATTATCATTATTATTACATGTATTGATATTGTTAATTTTTCTTCTTGGTGCATAGCACAAGAGTAGGTGGAAATATTAGCCAGAGGAAAATTGTGAAACAGCCGCCGAAATGGCATCTGTCCTTACAGCTATGATAGTTTAAAAAGAAAAAAAGCGTCGTTTATCCAAATCCAGTTCAAGTTTCATTTTAATCTTGTTTACTTATGTGTAACCAGGAATTATCTTAACCATCCGACCAAGATATTTATTTACGAAATTTCTATCTTGACAGTCCCTTCCTAGTTTTGGACCATTCCTGAAGGAAAGAAATGCTGTTGTCGCAAGGTATAAAGAAAATATTGACTTGCTGGGTAAAGGATTAGAGCCCGAGGAAGTCAGGCCAGCTTTCAAACCGGACAAACCTACCATATTACTGAAGGTAACTTGAATACTGACTGTAGACTTCAAAGGGCACAATTTGAACACTTATTCAATAGTTAACATCAATTTTGGAATAACTTGAATGCATTCATGTAATTATCTTTCCTTCTTTGTAAAGTTTAAAAGTATAAATTTCTGGTATGTATATTTCTTAGCATCAGCATTTTCTTTGGCAGGATGTAGTGGGCGCGGCTTTGGATCGAATTGGTTCCTATGGTGACCTGGATAACAGACAACAAGTTGTTGCTGTAATTGACGAAGATTTATGTATAAACTGTGGTAAATGCTACATGACCTGTAATGACTGTGGCTACCAGGCCATCACCTTTGATGCTCAAACCCATCTTCCGCTTGTCACTGCTGACTGTACTGGCTGTACATTGTGCTTTTCTGTTTGCCCAGTTATTGGTGAGACTTCGTCAGATTCCTTATTTCTATGTTTTTAGTGTTTTCCTTCTCAGCGACAGTATCAGTTGTGTGCTGAGTTGCCAAGCAGTTCAATAGGGGCTTAAGGCAGTTCAATAGGGGCTTAATACGAACCTTGCAGCTTCTCAGACAGCTATTAGTCTGTCATCATGCTCATTTCTTGTCTCCATCGTAACAAGGACAATTTTACCATTTCCTCTTAGTTTACTCCGGCTTTAAAGGTGAAATTAGAATTTAAAGGCTTCAAAACATTGCAAATAAATTGATGCAATCAGATTGCATTAATGCATGCAAGAACAAAAAAAAACGTGGTCGATGTCGATTAATATTTTGAAAATTTAATAGCTGAATTTTATGGGTGTTTTTTTTTTATTTTTTCGCAGATTGTATCAAGATGGTTCCGAGGGAAGGTCCCTACAAGCCAAGCCGTGGTGTTCCGCTGGCTGTTATTGGAGAAGCTTGAATCAAACTCAATCAGCAGTCGTTCTGCTCTACTGTAGGCACTCCACATCAATCATCAGACATTTTATCTATCAAGTATTTCATCTTGAGGGAAGACTTTTGATACTCTTTTTCTGGTCTTAAATTTGATATGATTGATTAACTTGGGATAGGTTGAGAAATGGACGAGAATTCTTGGTGTTAAGTCTGTAATCCATTGTGTGTTTTTGTGTGTTAGGGAAGTGGGTTTGATCTCTCCTACTTTTTCTACAACTATACTACTAGTGAAAACAATACTTGTGAATACAGTACTAGTGAATACAAAGCTTGTGAATACAATACTAGTGAATACAACAGTAAATACAATGCTTGTGAATATTGTTAGTAAATGCAATAATAGTGAATATAATAAATACAATAACGAACAGGTGATGCACTTCTGTAGGCACAGCGGAGAGAAATGCTGACGATCGCAACATAGTCAGAAGTAATCTACCATTCAAAGATCAGGTTTCAGCTAATTCTGTTCGGAGACAGCTGTGTGATCTCCGTAATAAGATTGGCCTCGTTTTGCAGCCAGTTTTTGTAAGCAAGAAATTAGAACAAGACCTAAAACCTAAAGAACTTAAGCCGTCAATTATTAATCAGCGATGCGTTGTTTAACATTTTGTATGTGATCTGTGCGATGCAGATTATGTCGGCTATACGGCCCGACACCTTTTTCAACGTGTCGCTGAACACAAAAATTCGGCAATTGACAAGCATTTTCATGAAGCGCATGGTAGGAGGGATCGTTTGAATGATAGTCATTTTAAGATTCTGAGAAAATGTCAAAGCAAATTTGATTCTTTAGTCTTTAAAATGCTTTATATTAAGAAATTCAAACCTAATCTGAACGTGCAAACGGACTCTATACGTGCTAAACGTTTTGTTTAACCCGCAAATTAATTTCTCTTATTGTTCGTTTTTAGTATTTATAGAACTTGTTTTTATACATTCTTGACTTGATAATGACGTTATGTTAACGTCGAAACGTCGTTGATTTTAGCTTTCTATAGATTTTATCGTTTTTAAATTTACAATGTTATCAAGCAACGTTTTGTCGCAAGTTTTTATCGTCAAATGTGATGCGCATAGTCAGTGAAATTCCTGTTGAGTGTTGTCCGAGTTGGTGTAATGGTTTGGAGTCAAGAATCGCAAACAGGAACATGGTCATCGATGTTATCAGTAAATTTCATTTTGTATTTGATTAGACGGTGCAACTTTTTATTATTTGAAAATTGCACGTAATCCTTTTCTTTTCTCTACTTCTGCTGGAGAAGTGTGCTTCAGGTACCACATCATCTTCGTCTCCGTCCTTGAAAAGCATCTGTAAAAAGTTATTCATTAACAACATTCCGGAAAAAGCCTAGTAGCCTGGAGCACACGTAAAACTACAACGTGAGATTCACACAACTTTGTTCTCAAAAATCAATCATTTTCTCCGGAAGTAATTCAGGTGTTTGTAAACCCAGTAGTTCAAACAGAACGCTAATGGGCGAGAAGGTGGGAGAAAGACTTTGTTGGGTCTCTATTATTAGGGTCGTCGTCTGCAGAACCCAAATCTCACCCACAGTGGTATCGTGAAGATCCCAAACCCCTTACTCGACTACCGTCGTGAAATCCGTTGGGATCATGGTTGATTCTGTTTTAGGAGTTTAGAACAGTATAACTACATAACTAAAGAACAAATTGGTAAGAAATATGCAAAAGAAAACCAGGTTTCTTTGACCCTTTATTCTTTGTCATTTTTGCTCTCTGCCGCAGTTTTAATTAAATTTCCAGATAGCCAGAAAACCTGTGTCGGTTTCGAAGAATATTCTGCCGGAAGCAGTCCCGTGAACGGGAGAGCGAAAAGAAATAGGTACTTGAATAGAGTCGTGGAGTGACATTACATTTAGAGAGACTCAGTGCAGAAACCCGAGCTGATTAAATGCAACCTTAGACTAATTTCACTTTCGACGCAGTATAGTAGAGTATGCTGCTAGCTGTGTCCCATTTAAAACTCAAATCTTGTTGCAAAACCTCTTCCGTTTAGCAGGATCGCACTTTGGAACAGTAAGATTTACGTTGTCAAATAAAGAACTTGTCTAACTTTAGCTTTCTGCGGAAGAATAGCGAGGAATTCAATGAAAATGTAAGACCTGAAATTGTAAAATCAGTTTCTTTTGACATGAAATTCTACTGCTGCGGAACATGCATCTTACAGACCGATAGATAATACAACAGCAACAACAACAAATTTTATTTAAGCTTAATAAGAAAATTACAATGCTTGGGCCCGCAAGTAGCTAGGGCTATTCGAGGCGGGCACAAGAGAGGAAAATAAAAGAAAAAATTCTATAGAAAAAAAATATTCGTATGACTGTATAATTATAATATATAGACGAACAATCCTAAAAGATATCTAGTTTGCCGTGTGGCTTATAGACAGAATGAAACAGGAGGGCAGACTGTGGTATATACTGGAAATCTCAGAGTTTTTCCTTGATTGCGCTTTTAAATTGATTTTTTTTTAAGTATTTTGATAGGAAGTGGAATACTGTTCCAAATCAAGATGTCAGAAATAGAGAAGGCTCTCTTTATATTTTCAGTTCTAACTTGTTCAACATAATAATTTTCATTGGTAACAGATCTAGTCTGGTAACTGTGGACAGAAGCCAGATTCGTGAACATGTTCTTAATGTTTTCAGGAACGAGATTATTGTGGACATCGTACATTAAAAGGCTCATTTGCTCAAAGCACAAGAATGATATCGGCAACTGTTTGGTTTGTAAGAATAACGGAACTGCATGAGCTCTTGGATCAGCGAAGAACATTAGTCTAAGGGCTCTCTTCTAAAAAACTAGTAGTTTATGAAGATGCGCTTCAGCAGTGTGACCCCAAGCACAAATGCCTTAGCTGATATAGGTTAAGATTAAAGAGCGGTATAAAGTGAGAAGTACATGACGGGGAACAAAATGTCTGAGCTTGGCGATAKTTCCGATTGTTTTACTGATTTTCTGACAAATGTAATCTACATGAATTTTCCATGAAAGATTCGAATCAATGGGTACACCAATACAACAAAAATAATTAGTGTAGTTAGAGATGGGTACCAAGATGAGATGACAACCATTTTTATGAACCGCGACTTCGTCTAGGTCCATAAAAAAGCGAAAACGAACGAGGCTAATAAACAAGCTTGGTTAACAAAGGATTTATTATATTACAAAAAGATTTCCTTTATTAAGAATTAAGAATGACTTGCTTACTTGAGACCCAGGAAAGAAAGCCAACTTTGTTTGTAGCACATCAAACTCACGAGAGTCGTTTCTGTTAACAAAGAAATGGAAGAATGCAGTTGAAAATGGGGAAAGCGTCGGCCTACTGACTACTGAGATGAGTAAAGCCTTTGACTGTCTAAAGGCTGATAGTTTCGAAAGAAACTGTTTGGGGCTGCGTCGGTGGGAGTAACGAAATAATTTGGATATATCAACAAAGTTGAAATGGTAAATTGGCCACCGTAACGATTACAAAAGCTGACGTTTCGAGCGTTAGCCCTTCGTCGGAGCGAATAGAGGAATTGTGGGTTGTGTGTGCTTTTAAAGGCAGAAAATGGAGCTACGTTATTGGTGGGAACATGGCAACGGGATTTAGACTGCCGGTTTGAAAGATGAGCTTTTGTTCAAGATTTTTACGGCTTTCCGTGCAGTTTGAAGTTTTGATTATTTGAATTTTTTCCATGTGATTAAATTAATTGCGTTTCTTTACGAGTTGATGAATCGTGGATAAACGCAATTTGGTCAAAATTTACTTGTAGAAAAAAGATGTCAAAACCAGGGACAGCTTCAGGTTCCGCCGCCAACACTGCCAAGCGGCAATCGTAATTATTTCCATATCGTTTTCGTTTGTTTTATTCTTTTTGACTCAGTCGAGCTCTTCGGTTTGCTTATCCGGCACTAAGCTGGTGGATACTGTTACGTGGAACAAGTTCAAGTTACTAGAATGTTTATTTATTTCTGTTAGTTTGATTTTTACAACAGGCTAATGGAGAGGACAACAGCGCACGAAGTGTTGCTGTGCAGAGAAATTTTGGTAGAGAAGCGGTTTTATAAGTTTAAGAAAGGGAGTAATGACAGAAGAAGAATTTAGACGCAAATTTCCGAGAACCTTAACAGTGTAACTGCAGTCAAATTCAAAGTGAATCAAAGAGCAGTAAGAGAGCGATTTGACTTGCTACTCGGAAGATTTCGACCGTAAAGTAGAGAAGAAGAAAATGCAAGTGGTATATCTCCCGAACCAACAGAGCTCGACGCACTGTTGGAAGACATTTCTGAAAGAGAGAAATTAGCAGAATCAACGAGGGAATCCTGTGACAGAAGGAGTGTCGAAACAGATCGCAAAAAAGCCAAGGAGACGCGTTTCCAAGCCTTGGAAAGAGTTGGTGAAACAAAAAGAAGGGCTAATGAGGACTTTGAAAGAAAAGCGAAAAGGCAACGAAGAAGCGGAGCTGATGTTGCCGAATTTCTACGCGAAAAATCAGAATAGGAGCTAAAGATCCGCGAAGACGGAGGAGCTCGCTTTGAAAGCAATAGAAGTTGAAAACGAAAAAGAGAAGCAAGCACAGATGTTTAAAACCCAGGAGGCCATGATTACAAACATGGTAAAACAACAAGATCAGATGCAAACACTTCAAAAGGCTTTTTAGCAGCAACAGCAACAACAGACACAGGCCATGAGGGTGTTGTTAGAAAGACTTGGGAAAAAATAGTAACTTAGTTCCCTAACAGAGATTGACAATGGATTGATTTACCCTTGTAAATTTATTGCAGCTTCAATTTACTGATTTTGTTTTTTTAGTGTCATTTTGAATTCTCTATTTTTCAAATAGGAGTGAATTTTGTTGGGCTCTGCAAATATGACTTCCACATAGCCTTTTGTTAGAAATTTATTTAGTGGTTTACACCATTCAAGATATATCTTGAATTAATAAATTATTTCGCAAGTACCGCTATGTGGGTTTTTTTTTAAATCTAAACTGTGCCAAACATTCGTCGTCCCTAAAATTTTCGAGGTCAAACTCAGAGAACGAACGAGTGATACGGAAGTTCTAAGTTTTGTGATTCGTAGCTAGTGTAAAGCAACAGAAACTCGTCATCACAAATGTAATTAATCCCATAGCCTGACAAAGACGGATTAACTCTCTTGCTTCCTTGAAGGATGAAATTTTTGCTATTAAAATGACTCCACAACAACACTTTGCACTCTTAGCTTCCGCCGTAGTGTCGCTGTAGCTTAACGATTCGTATTTGGCGGGAAATACGCCGTACTCACCCTAGTCCATCGCGGCCAAGGTATCCGTAGTACAGATTCAGCGTACCGTATCTTAAAGGTCGGCACACACG